TGTTCCTCTGGGGCAACTATCCCAGAGAGCTCAAGCTACTCATTTTCTAAGTGTTAGAGATAAACACACATTGTTAAAACAGAGGTGACAGCTACAAAGTATTGTGGTATGGCATTAAGGAGAGAGTTCAGAATGTTTTATGATCTTCCTCCAATGCATAAACACATATGAAAATGCCAGGAAACTGCAGAAAGTTGTAGTAACGTGTTACTATTGGCAGTAATTACTTTTGAGAAATATAGAAGGCATACAACAGACAGAGTATTTACAACATCCAAAAATATTATGAAATTCCTGAAGGTTTTATTTGTGTTTTGTATCTGTGAACTGTTCTACAAATTCTTACTTGATTTTTTAGTAGGACTCACAGACATTTTCACAACAAATATTGCTCCACATCTGTTCTACATCTGGATGCTTTAAAATTGGTATCACACTTTGAAGTGTCTTGATTAATGTGTAAATAACTTTGAAAGACATTTCCATTTTTTTATAATTATACAAAATTATATTATACAAAATATTATACAAATAAGGACAATTATATTATATTAAATAAGGACACCAAAGCATAATCACACTGCAATATTGTGAAAACAAGAAGTAGTCATTATTTAGGACTTTCAGGTTGTTGGAATGTGTTTTTATTTTGCTCTGAATGGCAAGTGAAAATGGCATTCCCATCAACTGTGCTTACTGGAATCTTACAACCCTGAAAGTGGCTTTTTTGTGTTTCAGATTGTGTATTTGTTTTGAACTTCGAAGATGTGTTGTCATGTAAAGCTCTTGAAACCACGGCAGGGCAAAGGTGATGCCTTAAAAGACAGTATCAATACCCTACATTTCCAATAACCCCCAAACTTAAAATTCTGACATCTCTAAACTAATAGACATACCAGCAGATACTTGTTGCAATTTGCTTGTTTGCTGCAATTTTCAAGGATATATGCTTTGTTCTTCATATGTAATCAAACAGTTGAATCCTTGCTGTAGTACAGTTTTAATTATGGAACAATCATGCAGTGTTTGGCAGCAGCTGTGCAACACTGACCATTTCCTTTCTCTTCTGTGTCTCACCTTGGCAAATCCAAAGATAGGGATAAGTCTCATGGGATCACAAAATAGCTTGTGTTGGAAGGGACCTTTAAAGATCACCTACTACAACCACCCTGCAGTGAGCTACAGCTCCATGCCCTACGTTTGACCTCTCTGGGAACACTACCGAGATAAAGGATTATTATTTTTTAAGGGGGGCTTTTGCTTTGGATCTGGATGACAACTGTGCAGTTAATTTCTCATGGATCCTTGAACAAATAACATGGGGAAGTTTGGCTGTCTGATGTGGCAAAATAAGCTAATTTTCCTTCAAACTTTGAACTCCACTTTGCGTTAGATACTGAATGTGAAGAAACCAGTCCAAAAGTGGGAGGTTACAATGGATTGGTACCCATAACATGCTCAGATGTCTGAAATGTCTTAACAGGATAGGGGAGTCTTCAATAATCCATTATTCTGGAATACTGAAGTGTAAATCTTTCTGAACAGCTGTCTCTGTCCGCAGGAACATCTTTTCTTGATAGTTTGCATTATGAGATCCAGTACAGGCACAAGTTCACAGGTTGTCAGCTCTTGCTCATGGACTATCTCTCATCTGTGAGAGGTAGGGTAGGTGCAATGGCAATAAAAAATACATCTCCCCACATGCAAGCAAACACAGTGGGCCAACCACACTTAGATGTAAAAACACTTCCAGGAAAAGGAGTTGGGAGGAGTTCTGCCCAGACTAAAAGGATAACAAGTCTTGGTATAGCCTTTAAGTATTGAATTGGACCATACAAAGGGCATGCCTTATGACTTGTCACTTTGAGAGATCAGCAACTCTTCAATGTTCTCAACACAGAGTTAAAAAAATATCCTGCTGGCTTTGGTACCTGCCATCTCTTCTCAGACAGGTTAAACTGTGCGATTGGGTCAGTCCCTATAGCAGCTGCAGAGCAGAAGCCTGTACCCCAAAGACAAGTCAGACAGGCTTAGAAGCATCTTACAGAGCCAGGCCAGGACCAAGACCCAGGACTGCTGTAAGCCACTTGCTTTAGAAGAACCTGAAGCTCAGGAATATGCTCTGTAAGAGCCAGTCAGAGATCACAGACCCCACAGATCCATTCTGGCTGAAATATGAAAATAAACTATTGATGAGGGAATCTGAACCAGTGCCTTATTGAAGAAAGATCTTTTTCCTGACTTAGTTCCTACGGTTTATCATCTCTGTCATCTTTTGCAAAGCAAGTGCAATATATTAGTGAATCAAAATGGACGTGCTGCAGGACAGAAGTAGACATTTTTCTCTTCAAAATTTAGGTTTATCTTTGAACTTTGCGTATTAAAAAAAATCTAAATTGATTTTAAAGATTTAACTATATTTAACAATACAGTTACTGCTCAAGCACCACTCTGCAAAATTTTAAAGTATACATAACTTAAGCATGAACATCCTTTGAAAGACTTTGGAGTAATTGGTATACTCCAGCCTCACTGGTAACTGGGTGCCAGACACATGCCTTAGACACCATTCTTATATGATCCACTGCTGTCCCCATAAAAGAGCAGTTATTCCCAACAGTACTTCTCTTTCTGTTTCTACTGGCAGCAGCAGCTGGCAGCTTTGTATCCATCCCTGACAAATGCACAAAGACACATTCAGCTGTTGGGACAATATTCATTGTCTGAAATGTCAGTTTTGCCTCCAGGTAGAGGATTAAATGGCACTGTCCTGAGAGCCAACCTCGGCTCATGGTGGGAACACCAGGATCATGGTGTAATCAGTGCTCAAAATAACATATGCCTTAGTATCTGGCAGTTACTTGTGACAGAGCATGCAGATAAAGTCATGCCCAAGTTGTAAAACGAAACATGAGTAGATACAAGTGGTATGCTTATTCATATTCTGGTTCACAGAGTGTTAAATATATCACTGGGGCTTTGTCTGTTGTAAGGACAGGGGCTATCTGCAGAATTTAACTTCCTGAAGTTCAAGTTGCTTGCATATGAGGCTGGATGCTGTGTCATTTCTACTTAAAATGAATGTTACAAAGGGGTCCCTGTCTCCAGGGAGGTGCAAGTCACAGCTACATTCCTACACAAATTGCTAATGCACATTTATAGATGTCTCTCTTGTGTTTATGCTGCAAACCTAATAACAACCCTGGGAACTTGCTTGGGCTTCCTGACAATGAATAAAACCAAAGAACCTGTGCTAAGACTGAAGCTCCTGTTTCCAATGCTCATGCATTCAGAAGCTGCAGGAATTGTTCTCCCACCTCCACTTCAACCAGCAGGTGCCCTCTCCAGTACCAAACACCTGTAAGCTCCAAAGCAGCAGCACATGCAACATGCAACTATTGTAAAAAACCCAATTTCTTGGCTCTTGGTAATAAGCTGGAATTTCTCTTCTCCTTTGAGTTGACCAAGCTATTTAAGTGTGAGAGTGAGGAGAATTTGCAGAAGAATATGATGAACACAGTATGAGGGAAGAAGCAAAAAGAAGATGGTAAGAGTTGTTAAACGCTGTTTTAGCACAGGCACTGAAATCACTGCCACACCAAAATTTCTGAGAAGCCTGGGTAATTTCAGAAACAGTTTTTCAGTCTCCAGTGACTGAAGAAATTGTGGCCACTATAAAAAAAAAAAAAATCGATCTATCAGAACAATATATGACAAGTAGTTCTGCTACAGCATAGATGTTGCTTCTTTCATTAATCAAACCAAAACTCCTTGTGCCTCCTGTTAGGGCAACTGCTCTAGCAAACAGTATGACTATTGCCCCACAGTCTTAGGACAGAATATTTGTTGTACTCCATAAGGAGAAAAAGAATAAAGGTACTCGGACTTTTGCCTCTGTAATTAGAAACTGCTACAAGGAAGGAAATACAGTTAAGTGTGCATGCACTGTTGATGAAACAAATCATTATGGAAACTTTCACTGTAGCTAGTTTTAGGAGAAGTAATAAATGAACTGTTAGTGTTCATTAGACACGGTGCTGTTAGTCATCTGGCAGACTGGAAGGAGAAACAGCACTTAAATTCAGAGAAAGCCAAGACAGGGGGATGAGTCTCAAACTGAGGACAACAATTTTGGAGGTGGTTGTGGGAACGAGTTAAGGCATCTCCAAGCTGAAAAGTATTCAAAAGAGACCTCTAAATAAACTTTCTCACTACATATCAAAACAAAGCAAAATTGCTGGACCTTAAATAAAAGTGCTCAATGCTGGCCTAGAGGCATGGTCACGCTGGTGATTAGTTGCCTTGGATATCTGGTGGCCTATCCAAAAACAAGACGTTGCTATTAGGTCAAAAAATTCCACAGCAATCTACCTGTGCTATTCATCATTTTGAGATGCACTAGGATCAGTTTGACTGATCTTAGCACGTTTGGAATTTATGTGTCTGATAAAGCAACATTTTGCTGTACAGACACAGAGTTTGAGAACTCGGGGATGTCCCCAGAGTCTTGTTTTGCTGAGCTGTCTGTGAGCACGTCAGCACCCTATCAAATAGTCGAGAAATTTATTCCAGCACTCATGATGATGCCAAATCTGCTTTGGGGAGGGGGGGTGTTGCTGTTGGCTGGGGTGTGCAGTGGGCTTTATGTGTGTGGGAGCACAGTGTTCACCCGGCAGCTGACACGCTGAAAAAGACATCAAAGAGCCACTAAGAAAACAAACTGAGGGACTGTCGAGCCACGGCAGGCAGACATCTCTCTCCTGCCGGGCGGGTCGGCTCCCGCAAATACTTTTTTTTTTATTTCCTCTGCTGTCATCCCATGCCGTTCGCAGACCGGCGCTTCTCGCACGCCGCCCGTTCCCGTCCCGCGGGCAGCGAGCCGGGGCTGCCGGACCGAGCCCACCGCCGACGGGAGCCCGGGCCGGGCCGGGCCGGGCCCCCCCAGCATCCCTCCCGCAGCCGCGGAGCCCCGGCCCCGCCGCACCGCCCGGCCGCCCGCCCGGCCCCCTGCCCGGCTGTATTTAGCGGCGCCGCGGATCACGCGAAGCCCGCGGCGGCGACATGGCCGCCGCCAGCACGGAGCCGCCGAGGCTGAAGCAGCTGCTGGAGCGGGACCCTTACCTGGCGCCCTTCCGGACCGACTTCCAGCGCAGGTACCGCCGCGCGGAGGGGAGCACGGAGCGGCCGCTCGCCCGCCTCTGGGGGCGCCGGGCCGGGCGGTGTCCCCTCCCCCGCGCTCTCCCCTCCCCTTGGCCGGGGCGGCTCCGCTTCCCTTCCGGCGGAGGCGCCGCTGCCGCGGGCGGAGCCGTGGCCGGGGCTCGGCGAGGCCTCCCGGGCTGGGGCGCTGCAGGGAGGCCTCGCCCGCGGACATCCCCGCCGGCCTGGCGGGGCCGGGCCGTCCCGTCCGGACCCGGCAGTCCCCGGGCGCCAGCGCTGCGCCCGCGACCGTCCGGAGAGCGGGGGGGGCGGGGAACGGCGCCCGGGCCGGCCGGGCCCGTGGGGCGCAGCCGGGGACAGCTTGCGAGAATCACAGAAGGGGTGGGGTTGGAAGATCATCTGGTTCCAGCCTTCCTGCCGTGGGCAGGAATATCCGTCACTTGTTCAGGTTGCTTAGAGCTGCATCCAGCCTGGGTTTGAACTCTTCCAGGGATGGGACAACCACGACTTCACTGGTTAACCTGTTACAGTGCCTTACAATAAAGAAGTTTTTTTCCTAATATCTAACCTGAACCTAGTCTTAGCATGAACCTGTCTCCCCTTGACCTGTCACTACATGTAAATAGTCTAGCCCTGTCTTTCCTGTAAGCTCCCTTCAGGTACTGTAAGGCTGCCATCAGGTCACCCCTAAGCCTTTTCTTTCACTGGCTGCACAGTGCCAGTTCTCTCAGCCTTTTCTCATAGGAGAAATGCTTCATCAGCTTGGTGGCCTCCTCTGGACTTGTTCCAAAAGGTCAGTGCCCTTCCTGTGTTGGGGATCCCAGAGCTGGATGCAGTCAGGGTGTGAGGGTGATGCACTGAGCTGCTATCGCTAACAAAAGATTTTAGCTGCAATAATGTGTTAATAAACTGCCCCTGAATCTCGCCTTTCCAGAGAATTTTCCTGCAGGCGTATGTTTTGAAGTGTCCCTGAACCGCCAGCTCAGCTGTTTGGCAGACCTGCAATGCATGAAGTAGCAGAGTGTGCATTAGGTTGGTGCCAGGTTGCCGGTCTGAGCATCCCTTTTTTTGTGCCTCTCGCTGGGAACTGTGACACCGACCCTCTGTCCAGGGCCTGGGTGAGAGCTTGACAGTAGCAGCCTGGGCAAGAGGAGGCCTGCATCCTGCAGAGCCAGGCTGCTGGCCTGGAAAAGCTGCTGAAACCTCACCCTCCAATTGAACACGGACATTGGGAGCTTTTATGTTGCACATTTACGTTGTGTTTCTCTAGTGGTCCCCTGGCAATCAAAATAATTGTAGCACTGACTAATGCCCTGTGTCCCAGAAGTCTGGAAAAGTCTCTGTGTATAAGGGATGTAAGAAGGGATATATTTTTTTTTAATTTTTCAGTCTTTGAAAAATACTTTTTTGCTTTTTTTTTTCCCTCCTGTTCTTATGTTCTACATGGTTTAACATTACCAGGTGTCCTGTTGGGTTCTGGTGTTGAATAGTGGTAAGTCTGGATCTTGTAAAATAGGATTAAGGTTTGAGTAAACTATTAGGCTGACTTGCAGAGCATTTTCTCAAACTAATCTCTTAATGACAGAACAACTGAGAGTTTATATAGTGGTTCCTGACAAGCTCCAGGCCATACAAGTAGTGCTGTAAAACACCTAATTTTTTCAGTGGGGAAGCCAGGGTGTAGGAATTAATAAATGAGCAGATCTTGCTCTTAATAAAAATATTCATTAAAACATTTGGGCTCCCTGAATGTTCCTGCCATCAAAACAGTCATATTGTGGATAGTGCTGTTTGTATTTCTGAGGACAGTGTGACTGTACTGGTACATTGAGTTTGCCAAACTTTTCTGTCCTTCTCAGGTTTGTGCATCTGGAGCATAGAGCTTCAGATGGTCCTGACTCTATCTTGTCACTTTCTGGCTCCTGAATCTCCAGTTGGTCACTTGTCATTGAATTACTGTGCAAGCATGTATCCTGTTAATTAATTTAAAAGAATAAAGGAAGACTTCCGTGGCAATCTCTGGATGATTTGTTCTAAGCCCAAAGAAGCAGCACACCCTGGGGATGGTGGAGAGTGGCAGGGAGGGGGAGTTGTAAGTTCAGGGGAGTGCCTGTTAGTGTCTGCATGCAGTGCTCATCGCGGTTTCTGTGAATTCTGATTCAGTCCGTATGTAATGGCTTTGTGTGAGTTTTGTCAAGAGTGCCAGGAGAAAGGAGTTTTGCAACCTAATTGTTGTTTGTGTGAAGAACTAGTTCTTTAGGGCCTCCAGTATGTGGGATTTGCTTACTTTATGTCCAGTTCCTTTGCTGGGGGAGGTGGTGAGCAGTCCTGCGCAGCTGTGTGCGCTGTGTCAGAAATCCTTAGCTATGTGATCTTTGTTCCAGACTGAAGGGTCCCGATGCATTTAATTGGTGGTTGTATGACCCATCACTGTGGTATGGAACTTGTTAAATAACTCAGTGGATCTGATTTTCTACACCATAGTGGTGCAGGAAAAGGCTGTGATGAAGCTGCCAGGAATATGTGCTGTTAAGCAAATCTGTGTGTTAAGAGTTTGTTTGTCAGCTGCTTGCCATGGCCTCATCATAGGTGGGACAGAAGGACTAAATTAGCAATTAATTTAGTTTTGTAGAGTAGCAAAACGGGGTAGAAATGATGCTACTCAACTGCTGAGCAAGTGACAATCTGTTCATTATTCCTTCTGTTACTGTTGACTAACTTTCTCTAACTTTGCTCTGGATACTGCTGCCCAGTGACTTTTTTTTTTTTTTACACTTGAATAGTTTAGACAGAAAAAGTACATGCAGTCTCTCAGTTCATATGGTCAGTCAAGTTTTTCCTGATAAAGGGAATGGGAGGCAGATTTGATGCCTGGCACCCTGTAGCACTAGAAGTATTTTACTTACTTGGATTAGGAAGCTTTGGGAAAAAGTAGCAGTGAAGGAGATTTGATCAAATACAATATACATGGATGCATTTCCTGTAGTAGTCTTAATCTCTTCTTAGAGTTTGCAATGATATTGACCTTAATATTAAACTGAATCATCATGGAGTCATGGAAATTTTACAACATATAGTTGTCATACTATGTATTGCCTAAATGAAAATTGAGGCTTTTGACAGAGGATTAAAGATGCTTGAGAAACAAAGCTTTTAAACATTTGTTGGTGGACATCCTTATATTATGCCTTGTTCAGTAAGATGTGATACAGTCCTCCCTTTATCTTGATTAGTAAAAGTTATTTTGTAGAAGTGATGGGAAATAAAAGACTTGGGGCCTAATCTTGGCAGTGACATCCGCAAGTTGCTGAGTTGCCCTTTGGGCTTGAGTTTATCTGCTCTCTTATCTGTGGCAGGGTATTAGCAGGGCCAGGTGATTGTTAGTAGAGGACTTTGTAGCTGTGTAACCATGGCTGTCAGAGGCTGCACAGGTAACTTGGTTGTTCTCACACTCAAAGACTGACCATTTGTGTGTTGGATTGGGCTCCTCAGGACCTTGTTTGGTTGGGTCCCTGAGGATGTGTTTCTTGGACAGCCTCTCCCTGTGTTTGGCTACCCAAATTGTGGAAATTTCTTTTTTTAATACTGTAGCTTGATGCAACCTTGTTGCTTCTGGTCTGCTTTCCCTGTTTCCCTTGGAGTGCAGCCTAGCTCATTGTTTTCTTTAGGTGTTCTCAGCTACCTGTACCTGTAGATAGATTAAAACTGTGGGTGGACATGAGCAGCCCACGCCTCTTCAAGTTAGCTTTTGCACATGTGTTCTGAGGAAACCCATCTCTCAGGCCCTACCTGCGTGCCATAGGTAGGCAGACCAGAAAACAAAAAGCTGTTTTCTGGAGAGGCCATAGTGTGTTCCTGCTCATCTATGCCTTGAGCAAGTGCAGGGCTCTCTTGCAGGGGGTCACACCTGCCTCTCCTGCCCTGTGCTGTGCTCCTTCACCCATGGGATGGTGACCAGGTATGCACAGCAGTGTAGCTAATACTGAGATCTTTGTGCATTCTTTTGTTTTTCATTTCTGTTGGAGTGGTTTGCTGAAGGACAGACAGGCTTCAGTCACATCAGACTGGATTCTGCAGTGTAATATGATTATCCTGATTCACCTTGAGAATTGCCAGATCCATGATGAAATGAATCGTGATGTTGCCTCAAGTTCTGAAAGTGTTCCTCTTGGTTTCAAGGACTGTCTCCTTTAACCTCTTGCAAAGTGTAACTTTGTGCTTTAGACAACTGATTGTTTTCCCTCTCTTTCATAAAGCCTCGAGAAATACTGAATGAGTGCTTTGATAGGAACAAAGGGTTTCTCTAGAGAAGTAATGCCTAAAATGAGATGGTAAGACCTAGTAATACCCTAAGCGTGGAGGATGGACTGACATCCTCTTTAAATGAGTGACTAGGAGGAAGAAAGACTTCTGGTCATGTTCCCTTTTCAGTACTTTGTCATACCTGGGCCTGTTGCAAATAGTGTTCAAGAGGAGAATAGAAATCTGTAATTTTTTTTTTCTTTTGATGAATGCCTGAATCTGATCCTGAGTCAAGGAAGGAGTATCTTCTTTGGGATGAAGGGATATCAGTGTCTATATAGTGAACTGCTCAGCCTTGACCCAAACATACATTATTTAGATCTCTAAATAAGAATTTACTTAAAAAAAAAAAATCCCCAAGTGATAGTGTTTGTGTAGGGTATTGCTGTGCTACATTGTTTGACCATCTGTGATATGTTTGCCCACAAGTATTTTGTTAAGTCTCAAGTGTTATTTAGACTAAAGACTTTGTATAATTTAGTATGTATTTTTAGTCTTTTACCTCTTAGAGCATAATTGGTTCAATTAAAACCATTAATGCCTGTGGTGTAATTGCATTTTATGGAACTACAAACTGGTGTTAGAAAGTGCTGCCTATTGGAATTTTCTGCTATAACAATGTGCATGGCTTATTATATTTTACTAGACCATGCAACTGCCTCTGTAACCTACTGATTATGTAGCCTTTGGTGAA